TTTGAGTGTGTCCCTGCCACATTATATGAGCTACTGGGCTGGATATTTAACATCACTTGTATTCATTTTGCCCCAACTTGAGGGATCAACAGACAATCAATATGAAAGTGATTTGGATGGTGTAAAGTACTGTACAATGTTAACCACTAGTAGCAATAAAAATAAATGATTTTATACCTTAATTTGAAAAGGAACACACAGTGAAGGGAAACATGTCAGACCCCAAAACAGAATGACTCGGATTCTGCATCTGCATCTGCAAATTAGGGATACTAATGACTTTTTTATGGTGCTGGCCTTAGATGTGAAATGTGGGATGTAAATCTTCTAGAAGGGACAGATTCTGTAGAAATGGCAAACAGAAGGTAATCTCGGTGAAGGGGGGATATTGTGGCACCTCACTTCTGGCAGCAAAGAATTAAGGTGAGCAATGAAGCACAAAATGAAACCAGAATTTGCCCCTCAGATATTTCCTTATCCTCTTTCCATCTATTACAACTGTCAGCTCCCCAACTAAGAACTAAGGACTGAAACCCAAGTCTGGAAAGAATCTCATTCTTATTTCTCATTTATCTGTACTTGGGTAATCATTAAAGACTCAAGACAGAGATCTTTTCCATGCCTGGAAAATTATTGTATTTGCCAGTCATCTGCAAGAAATGAACACTGAACTTCAAAGAAAACAACTGAGTCTTAAAATAGATTCTTTACCCCAAAGGGCACTAATAGAATATTTGGCCCAGAGTTTTGAAATCCAGAATGCCTAGAATATCCTTGTGGAGTCTTAACTAAGCTGGCATACTTCAAAAGGCCTCACATCTCCAACAGCTATACATATTAGGGGATAGAGCTCCCATGGCACTAAGAATATTCACATTGGCTGACAACCAACATCCTACTGCTTGTCTTCTGGGTATGATGGATATTAAAATGTGAACTATTCCAAAAGAACTGTATGTCAAAATTCTCAGTCATTTGCAGCTTAATGTTAATAAGTGTCAGATCTTTTTATGAACATAAGTTACCTTTTCAAGGAGGAAAAATACACACTGAATCGGAAAGTGGTGGACAACAGCCACTTTACAATTTTACCTAGGTCAGGCCTCAAGCTGCAGCTACTGATTCAATTGACTCAGGACCACTCCATGTTATGGAACCACTTCACTTAGAGGAGAACCTTCCATTTTTATCTCTAAGAGGAATACGACACTGCAGTTTTGAATGTGACCATCTGGACAGGAGGAAATGGAATATAATTTTTTTGAAAATCATACTTGGTAGGAAGAATATCTTCAGAAAATTTTAATGTTTCATCAAAATAAAATAAAAAAGTAAATTGTAATCCCTCAGATTAGATTTTAAAAATTCAGAAAAACCTAGACATATCAGTGTATTTCCTTAATTGAATTGAGGCAGATAAATTATTTTCAACAACCAAAAAGGTACAAATGACAATGAAATATATTCTGAGGTAAACACAGTAGTTCTTTAATCAGGGAAAACAAAAAAGCAGCCGTTTAAAGAACTGAGCTTTGTCAAAGGTGAAGGAAAACAGAAAATATCTGTATCCTGAGGGTCACATTCAAAACTGAGGTGTCATTCTTCTCAGAGGAAAAACAGAAGGTTCTCTCCTAAGTGAAGCGGTTCCTCAGCTTGATTTCGGAACAAGGCTTGATTTGGGGGTAGCAGCAGACTTCCTGGGCATTAGCCAGCCCAGGCCTGCAAGAGTCAGGGATGATGGAGCCACAACTTTATAAAATGCCCTGGAAGGGCTCCAGAGATAAGGCCTGTACTTTTATGTGCATGACAGGAGAAACAAGGGCCTAGAGAACTTTTGTCTTGGGAGGCCACTTCTTGAGAAAATAAATATGACAAAAAGCTGTTAGCAGCCTCAAGAGGAACAAACATTCCCCAAATCTGTAGCCAGTTCAGTAAAGGGTATCAAAGGCTATTTACTGAAACCAGAAGAAATGCCAAAGATTAAGCATGGGAAAGAGCACAGATAAGGTGTTTTTACTGGGCACTCCCATTCCCAGCAGGAAATATGGCAAATCTTCCTTTCTGCTTGTGGCAGATGGAAGCTTCAGAACCTACACTAGGGCTCTGCTACCCAGGAAGAGGGCAAGCCAAATTCCACCTCGGGACAACTAGCCAAATAGCCATCCATTGGTGGCCATTAAAAGTTTCTCAGCTTGCCGAACCTAATTTTATGTGGAGTTTTCATTTTCAAGATCATGATTTGGTTCCCTGAATCATATTCTATGCTTGATACCTGGCATCTTAGGTGGAAGTCCCCAAATCTTACTAATAACCAGAATCATATGAGAAATGGGGTACAGAGTGAGGGAGTGGGAGAGGCTTAAAAAAAAGGCTCAAGAGCTACTGAATTGGCATCCCTGGGATGAGACTTGGAATGCCATGCGTGTGTCCTCAAAAGATTTGCACCACTATGCTCATACAGCTCCATTCCTCATAGACCCAAACTGCAAACAACCTAACTATTCAATAACAGGAGAAGATGAACAAATTGCAAATAGAATGCAATAAGTCACTATGATAAAAAGAACAAATCACTGATCCTTGCAACAATATGGATGAATTTCAAAAGCATCATGTTGAGCACAAGTCAGATTCCAAACAGTACAAACTGAATGATTCCATTCTTATGGTATTCAAGCAAAGGCAAAATTAATCTATGGTGAAAGAAATCAGAAGAGTGGTAACTTTTGACTGTAAAGTGGTTTTGACTATAAAGGGACATGCAGGAACCTTCTGGGGTGATGAATATATAAATGTATATGTATGCAAAAATTCATCAAATTATATTTCAGATTAGTGCATTTTCCTGTGTATAAATTATCTTGTGTTAAATTCGTTTTTTAAAAAAGCCATTCTTTAATAAGATAGAAACTATCTGTTCTTTAAAGGTTTGGTAAATCCTTTCTGCTACACTAAATATTTCACTTTAAAAAAATGTTTAAAACAACCCACACACACATACATACACACACGTATACTCTCCTCTCTCTCTCTCTCTCTCTCTCTCTCTCTCTCTCTCTCATTCCCCACCCTCCCACTTGATATAATGTTGAATGCTGAGTTAGTCTTGGATAACTACATCTTGATAAAATAAGGTCTGCATTTTGAAATCTGTGGAATTCACTAAATTGTATCGTTCCCACTGCTTTCATAGTGTTAAAATTCTCAGCAGGTATTTCATTATTTCTTACCAGGCCTTGTAATAAAAACAAGTGTCAGTGTGTAACCAAATGCAGACCAGTTCCACCCAGGAAAATCATAACCTCTCCTTTAACTCTATTGTAAATTATTGTATAAATGTCATGTTTTCAATTACTTTTAAGTTTTGGGAGTTACTTAGACAAGTGTTTTCATGTATGGCTTTTTGCATTGAAATTCCTCTAGTCTCCTTGAATTACTGCTAAAATTTTTAGCTCTTATTGTTTAAAGAAAATTGGTTGACCTGCAATTGCAAGTTGGTTGTCCAACCAGTCACCACAGTGGTGCCATTTTATAAATATGGATGAAATACTGCCGGTGGGGCTTAGGCATGGCCTCTGCCTAACCCATTGACTGCCCCTCTGTGTGTCCCAGTTAGTGATGCCTCCTGTGTCTTCACTTCCCCTCCCAACCTAGCCACCAACCCCGCAAGGAGAGTTCATCTGAGCTCCCAGGAGCCTCTCACGTGTTTTTTAATGAACTGCCTTGTGGAGCAAACCTTTCCATCCCCTTCTTCTTACTCTGCTATCCAATCCCACTAATGCTGTTTGATTACAATTTTGAAGCCTTAAAGTGAGTAAGGTGGCAATTACATAGTTTCCAATAAATATTTTGCTCCCACATCCTGTTATCTGAGAAGCAGGTCAGCTGAAAATACGCATTTTCCATTTGTACGGGGTCAGTTCTGCATATGCTATAATTTAGTTTATGCCTCCTTTTCAACTTACACCTGCATTTCCAAACGAAACTCCTGAACAGACGAACAAATGCTTTTATGAAATAAACAGGAAAGAAAATAACCTAGCAAACCTTCTAGAGCCCAACAGCGTCTCCAACTATATGACTTTATTTCAGTGACAAATGTAGCCAAATATTAAATAAGGTATTGAGATATTTTTAAGTGTCAAAGAGAAAGTACTCTTATTTGTTAAAGCCCATCCCCATAGAACAGAACGTATACCCTCCAGTCTCCTCTTCAGATCCTGAGCCTCTCAGCATCACAAACCTGGAACTTAAACACTTAAACCCGGAGCTCGCTAGCAACTCTGGTTTTATATGCATGGATTTCCTTAATTCTCATGAGTGTAGGAGGACTGACTGACCACATTCACTCAAGGTGAAGCCAAATGCCTTGTGCTGTTCCTACCAGACAAAGCACCTATAGTAGAGTTTTCAGTCAGAGCAAAACACGCAGTGTGGTGGAGACACATCTAATTCGCCCATAATTTTAGACACAGAAGTAATGCCAATGAAGAATGAAGGAAAAAACGTTTGTGCAACTGTCAGCCTATCAACTCTGAACTAGAAAATTCAGTTGGTCCGAGGGTTGTGGGTTATTGTTAAGCTGATTTAACATTGTCTCCCCCCACAACCACGCTTGACTAGCTTTGTGTTTAGGCCGGGCGCGGTGGCTCACGCCTGTAATCCTAGCATTCTGGGAGGCTGAGGCGGGCGGATTGCTCGAGGTCAGGAGTTCGAAACCAGTCTGAGCAAGAGTGAGACCCCGTCTCTACTATAAATAGAAAGAAATTAATTGGCCAACTAATTCATATAGAAAAAATTAGCTGGGCATGGTGGCGCATGCCTGTAGTCCCAGCTACTTGGGAGGCTGAGGCAGCAGGATTGCTTGAGCCCAGGAGTTTGAGGTTGCTGTGAGCTAGGCTGATGCCATGGCACTCACTCTAGCCTGGGCAACAAAGTGAGACTCTGTCTCAAAAAAAATAAAAAAGAAAAAAGAAAATTCTACTGATCTAAACCCCACTTAGGTCTAATGGTTGGTTACTTGAGCTGATGGCTCTTGTGCTTACTAAAATAGCATCTGTCAATCCTGACCCAAAGACAAAATTGTGTCTGTGTTTCCTCTTACAGTGCTATGACTAATTATTAAGGTATTAAACTTCTTTTCAACAGATTAAGAGTTCCTGGTGAGCACAGTTAAACAAGCCATTAGGTTGAGAACAAAATTTTTCCACACTACAATGACCCACTAATGCACCAACTACTGCCACATTCATCAGTTAGGGGACGTGAAGAATAGAAAATCTGAACTATTTTTTATTTATTTTTTCCTCATTTCAAATTGAGACCATTTACATACATAAAACACATAGGCTTTAAGTGTATATTTGATAAGTTTCAACTAATGCATATATCCATGTAACCATAATGCTGGCGAAGATAGAAAACATTTGCATCACCACCAAGAGTTCCCCCATGCCACCTCCAGGAAAATCCACCTCTACCACCAAGAGGCAATCACTGTTCTGATTTCTATTACATAGATTAGGTTTGCCTGTTCCAGAGCTTTATGTAAATGGAATCATACAGTATGTGCTTTTTTGTATCTGACTTCTTTCATTCATCATCAAGTTTTCAAGACTTGTCCATGTTGTGTATATTATATTTTATTTGTTTACTATATGGATATACCACAGTTTCTTTTCTACCCTCTTTGTAATGGACATTTAGGTTTTTTCCAGTTTGAAGCTATGATGAATAAAACTACTCTGAACATTCTCGTTCACATCTTTGGGTGAACATATGCTTCATTTGTCATAGGTAAATATGTACGAGTAGACTTATTGAGTCATAGAGCAGTTGTAGGGCTTAACTTTATAAGAAATTGCTGAACCTTTTTGTTTATGTGAACACTTCTACCTCCTCCAATTTCTTCCACTGCTGCCCATGTGCCAGCCCAAACCACAGGCCCATTCCAAAAAAAGATAATGCATAATTTAAGATTTCTTTTTCTTTTCTTTTGTTTCTACCTGCTCTGACAGGTATCTTTGGTTGTCATTGACAGGGGCAGTTTTAAGAACTCAATCTCCAACCACTGAAGGCGTGTGAACGACCCTGCTGAGGAAAGGTAAGAAAAAGAGTCCTCAAAAGGAGACTTAGCTGCCCAGGGCAGGCCTTCAGAGGCTCTGTCCATAGGAGATGTCACGCTTATTGTTGCAAAAACATCAGTTCCTGGGTTACCCTCTGAACTGAGGCAGCTGGAAACATTTTTTATATAATACCACTTGGTTTTAGCAGTGAAATCCTTGCTCAAAGGGATGGTATTATGCAAATTAAATTATAATTGAATGCTTGTTACCAAGGTAAGCTTGGCCAAGTCTTTCCCTTCGTTTCTTCTTTGGAGACCTGGGGTTCCTCAAATCCCCTGGAGCAATGTTCAGTGCTGGCCCTGGCAATAGAGGGGGCATAGTTGTTCCCATTAAGACAGCTCCGGTTTTATGTGCTCAGCAGCTCTTCATGGGTTAAGATTCATCCCTTTGATAATATGACAAACAAAAAAACAAAAAGCACTGCTTGAAAATAATGATTTACCACAGAACACATTTTACTTTAGTAAAACCTTTTTTTCCTAAGGAAAAAGTGTGTGGGCTTATCTCTTGAAAATGCCAGCATGGCTGTGAACACTGGGGAAATTAAAAGACTGAATAGAATGGATTTCTTACGTATGAGTATGCAGGGAGTTGCATGGCTTATTTATTAAGTTGTGTGCTAGGGGAGGATTATCTGCCTCGGATTTATCTATTACTTTGTGGCAGTGGTTTTTAAATATGGAGTAGTTTTGCATTGTACAAAGCCAAGTTCAAATGGAATCTGAAACTTAGCAACTTTGGAAGCTTTGACTATGACATAGAACTCAGAGATATAAATATTAAATGAGGTAGTTATGACCTGGTGCCTTGAAGTTATATGCTGCCAGTTAATGGTAGTATCCTACACTAATAATGCTTTTCATTTTTAATTTGAAAAGTGCTCTATAACCATTAGTCAATCTTCAGAATGTTCCTCAGTCTCTGAGTCAATCTTATTACTCTTATTTTATTTGAGGAGGGGAAGGTGACCAGGTACCGAAAAGTCATACAGAGAATAAAGACAAATATTGGCCCTTAAGAATGCCTGTCCCCAGTCCTGATCAAATTTGGTACTTTTAACCAAAAATATGAATCTCTACACAGAGTTTGTGAAATTTCCTGTGATAGCTCTTCAAAATGACACTATCAAGTATGTATTCATTATAAACTCCCCAAAATGGAATGTGAGACATGAAAGATAGGATGGATTTTGTGCTACTGGGGCTCCCACAGTTACTCTTGCAACTCCTGCATAGTTAATCCTGTTATTACCTCCTGGCAATAACCCAGGTGGACTAGATTTTTAATTAGAATTCTTCCTGAATGCATGGGCCTCTTGTTATTAGAAATACTTTGTAACTAAAAAAGAAGCTTATACTACCCAGCAAATAGAATGAGTGGCCTATTATTTCAAAGTTGTAGCCTTTATTCTGCAAACCACTATATTTGTTTCCTTTTTTCAAGAATCAGAGTCCCAGCCTACCACAGTCTTATGAATATTGTCATAATGAATAAACACTAAGGAACACAGTGTCACCCAACTCATCCCCAGAACTCACCCAGCCCTGGGAAAACTGATGTGATTAGTTACACTAACTATTTTAACAACCAGCAAGGAATGAACAGTCCAAAATCATTTTCTGGAACCTTTTTCAGAATCTAAAAAAAATATTATTAAGATGAATCTTTTTTCAGTATCTTTCCTATGCATTCATGCCATACTTGTAAATTATGGCAAATAGCAGGTGTATTTGTTTCTAGGGTAGCAAATTAGCACAAACTGGGTGACTTAACACAACAGAAATGTATTTGCTTGCAATTCTGGAGGCTAAGAGTTTGAAATCTAAGTCTCAGTTGGGTCATGTTCCCTCAAAAGCCTCTGAAGAATAATCCTTTCTTGCCTCTCTTATCTTTTGGGATTGCTGGCAGTCCTTGGCATCCCTTGGTTTGTGGCAGCGTCACTCCAACCTCTGCCTCCATCTTAGCATGGTCTTCCTCCCTGTGTGTCTGTGTCTCCCTGCATCTCTCCTCTTCATATAAAGATACCAGTTATATTGAATTTAGGGACTATCCTAATGCAGTGTGACCTCATTTTAACTGAACTAATTACATCCGCAAAGACACTATTTCCAAATGTCACATTCACAGTGCAATGGACTAAATGTATCCCCCCAAAATTCACATTTTGAAATCCTAACCCCCAATGTGACAGTATTAGGAGATGGGCCCATTGGGAGAAAATTCGATCATGAGAATGAAGCCATCATAAATGGGATTGGTGCCCCTGTAAAAAGGACCCCAAGGAGCTCTCTTACCCTCTTTCTATCATGTAAGGATACAACAAGAAGTTGACAGTCTGCAACCTGGAAGAGGGCCTTCCCCAGAACCTGGTCATGCTGGCAACTTCCAGTCTACAAAACTGTGAGAAATAAATTTCTGTTGTTTATAAACCACTCGGCCTATGGCATTTTGTTATAGCAGGCCACACAGACTAATATACACAGGTATCTGTGATTAGGACTTCAACACATCCTTTGGGGGACATAGTTCAACCCATAATAATAGCATGTCACCCCCATATTCATGATTCCAGTAGTTCTCAACTTTGAATACACATTAGAGTCACTTGAAGCAATGTTAAAAATGAAAAACAATGCTCTTCTCCCCACCTGCCATAAATTAAATTTTAATACCTGGGAGAAGCCTGGACATCAGTATATTTTAAAGTTCCCCAGGTCATTCTCATAGACAACCACTGCCAATAACCCTTCACAACCTTGAGGAATGATATGTGTAGCTAAAGACAAGAAGAAATACTAAAACACTATACCTATGACCTCCTTTTCCAATGCGGCTCCTCTCCAAACTAGCCTGATTTTAAGATGTAATCAAACTCTTGTGGTTTCCTCAGTAAATTTTGAACTGACAGTAAAACTATATTTTAATACCACCAGGAAAGTGGCCCAAAATTTATTTCACCCAAGAGAAAAATTACCTGGTGATTTAATCTCTAAAGTCAACATTTTTTTATATGTGAAGTTAATCTGAATATATATTTAACTGTTTTTACTGACTAGAAACTTGTCTTAGAGCAAAAGATTTCCACATTGTTCATTCCAGAGATAGTAATAAATATTTTCGACCTGAGGAAACTGTGGCCTTTCTAAGATGAATATCAACCAAGAATGCAAAATTTTTTACAATAAATCACTTGGGGGAAAGAATTCCTGGTTTCAGATAAGTGAGGTTTTTCTCCTTGCTCAGTGCTTTTCTCTCTGGTTAAGCTGGAGTTAGGAAGATATTTCTTGCTATTTGCTTCCTCAGTCTCATCAGTAGTTTTTTTTTAAATTTACATTTTTAAGAAATAGCATGTTCTGAAGAAGACTCGCGCTGCGATAACGGGCAGTGAGCCACTGGGATCCTATTGTATGCCGAATGAGCCAAGAGAACCAAGTAAAAATGAAACCGGGTGTTCATTTAAGCAAATCAAAGATTCTGTATCGTGCATCCATCTCACTTCCTTTCTCTGGGCTCTGAACATCCAAACGCCCCGCAGTGCATTCATCAAGGCACTTTTCTTTCCTGCCAGATCTGTAAGGGGAAAGATTCACTTCTCTTTCCCAACGCGTCAACCTTTGTTGTTATTGATGCCTTAAAGCCTGCAATTACTTGACGCTAATGGGCAAAAGCACTTAGAGGGCTCTGCTTTGTGGTTCCATTGTCATAATCCATGTAAAACAAACCAGACTCAACACAGCCTGACAAGCTTTCAGCCCATTATTACTGGGGGCTTATTTAAATTACAGGTTTGATTAAATTTATAATTTAGCCATTCTACTTAGCACACTTGCCTTTTCTTATAAAACTAAGCCCAAGACACAGACATTTACAAAATCCCTTTCTCCCTACTGTCAGATGTGAAAAATGTCAGTGGCATGGGTGGCCAGAGGGAGGGGTTAGAAGTGCACTTAGAATAGTAAACTGAAATCCAAACGGAATTTCACAGCTAACCACTTTGTCAATGGATATGGCATAAGTGTTCATCCTTGTTAGAACTCCCCCATTAATCCTGCCATAGCATTGGGAAAAGAGTGGTATAAAAACAAGTCCCCATATGATCCCCTCCTCCACTTCTTACCCTGCATCGTTAGATAAGCCCTTAACAAAGCATGAAGCCATTACATTAAGTATTAATGCTTTAGCTGAGGGGAAGGATGTCACTTCAGATGGCCTTCTTTGGAAACGACAACATTGCCTTAACAGGTCAGCAACATAGAAATACATCTAAGACTGGGTAGTCACGTTTTAGGTCATTCAAAATATGTACCACCATAAGGGATAAATAATGTCGCCCTTACACAAATATTTTATTACAACAAATGTGAAGGCATCTTGCAAGAAAATTAAATCTCACATGCACGAAGCATAGGGAATTTGGTCCATATTCATTTATTCAAACAATAGTCACTGAGCACAGACTCGGGCCCAAACACCTAGTTGAGTGCTGAGAATGCATAAACACAGCCTCAGTGATGAGCTGGGAAGATGGGCTTGCAACCGATAATTACAAGAGATTCTGACAAATTCTGTAAAAAGACTGTGTACCTTGCTCAAAACAACCAGAGAAATGAGACACTATGTCTCTGCATGGTTGGGAGGTGGCAGGAAGGTTGTGAAAGGTTTAAAACAGGAGATTGACTCTGGCATGAATTTTTAAGAATGATTCATTTACAAAATTAATCAGCCATGGAAGGACACTGTAAGGAACAGTGTGTACAAAAAGTGTGGGGTCATAAAAGGCAGAGGTAGATCCAGGCAAATGTATGAAGTTTAGCACTGAGTAGCTGTGGAGCATCTGAAGAGGAGTAGAAAATGAGGCCAGAGGCGGTGCGGGCAGAATTCCGCAGACGTTTCGATCTTGCAGAAGTTGATGCGTCTAAGCTAAGCAGCTTCAGCTTCAGCTTCTGAGCCAAAGGCCATGTAATCAGGTGGCTCCTAG